AATAAGTTTGGTCGTTTCATAACAGGTGAGAATCTGCCTTCTATTCAAAGCCAACGTGCCACGCCTTTAATGAATACAGGACCGTAAGCCACCATGAAGAAAAGAGTGATTGGAACTGCTCTGCAGGAAAATCTGGGAGTTAGCACACAGGTGCCTGAGCCTACAAATTCTTTGAGAATCACAATCAGGAAGTAAATGCGATTATTTATTGCACAATTAATCAGGAATTTGATCTGACCAGTGCTGCCAACTGCTCATCACCAATTTGCGCTATCGGTCAACGATAGTTTAAGTGGATTTCAAGTTTCGGCTAGTAGGTATTTTAAAGGAAATGATGCCATTTTATGAACGGCAACAGCAACTACTTACCAAGGTGCCAGTTACCCATAACCGAAGCGATGTTACTTCTGCCATCCTTTCGACTTGCCAGCTTCCTTTACTGATCTGACACCGTATCGAAATAAATTCCTAAAATCATTGTTCTGATATTTTTAAATTCACAGAGTATTTGTGCAAAATACTATGATAGTGAAGAAAGTATTTTTATGAGCGAAAGAATTTCCGGATAAATGGTCCACAGAAGAGCACAAAGAACTGTATCTTATCCGTAAAAAGCTAAAACAGATCATGAAGTAGTGGGCTTCGGATATAGGTGGACCATCATCATCATCATCATCATGAGTGCATACATAATTGGGTTAACAAGTCTGTTAGTTTTACTTCCATCAAAGAGCAATATCTACGCCATTGCTTTTATACCGTTTTGGACATTAATCGGTATGAGGTCTGTGTCATTAACTAGCCTGCCATGAATTGGTGGTTATTTAAAGTTGGCTTTGTGTAACATGCATTTCCTCAAGGTTTTGGACACCAATGAGAACTCCAATCTGAAGCTGCTCAAAGGAGTGCAAGAGTCTTAAAATATCAAGTTTAGAACCATGGTCTTGTCCATGTCTCGAGATTATTTTACTCAGTACAGTTTTACTAACCATTTTGAATTCTGCATTATTACCAGATTGGCTACTTAATTTGCACTAGTGTGATTAAGTTCGCCTTTATGGAGGAGAGGCGGGAAAACAATTTGAACACGAAACAACTTCGTGAGGAGTGGGAATAAAACTTCTCGGGTTGACATCAGCTCATCATCATCATCATCACTATCAATCCTCGTCAATCTCATCAATCCTCCTTCCTCATTTCCTTGCGCTCTATGTATGATGCCTAATAAAGCTGTCTCAACTAGTCCTCCCCTGAAGCCCGAGGTTTAGGGGCCGTCTCTACCGA